CAACGCTAGCCATGCGATGCGCGGTGCCCGTGCAGCGGCACGATTAGATTGCGTTTCCTGGCATCAACGCTGGCAGCGTGACGATCAGCAAGTGCGAGCGGACACGCCTGCAGTGAGCTCAAAAGCCTTCGCATAAATGCTCGCCAGGCGACACGCACCATAAGCAAACGGCACGCTCGGAGTGGGCTCCATGCTGAACACTGGTAGCGTGATAAGCAATGGAAACAAGCTGGCCCGTTCACGAAGCTCACAGGAGGGGCACTGGAATGACGCGGGAGGGGAGATGCACGGACCCTGCAGCGGGAGGCCCATCCAAAGAAAAGCGCTCGCATAGCATGGTGCGTGCACGAAGCGAGCCCGCATACTCGGACCGAACCGCCGAGGATCCTGGCAGCGCCGCTGACAGTAGAACGATCACCGAACGCAATCTGGCACACTTTGAATGAGCTCCCTGGCAAATCTTTGCAAACAACGCTGACGCCGTGCGCGATTCGACACGTTTAAACAGTCCCACACCCTCCTTACCTACCTCCTCCCTCCTCGTAAACCGTAAGTTTCATCACGTGTCTCATTCCTCTCCGTGCGGACACAGATCCTTTTTGTCCTCCTCATCCTCCTCGTCCTCCTTCTCTTCGTCCTCCTCCTTTTCCTCCTCATCCTCATCCTCCTCCTCCTCCGCCGCCTCCTCCTCTTCCTCCTCCTCCTCTTCCTCCTCCTCCTCCTCCTCCTCCTTCTCCTCCTCCTCATCATCATCATCATCATCATCAACATCAGCATCATCATCATCATCATCATCATCATCATCATCATCATCATCATCATCGTCATCATCATCTCATCTAATGTCATATCATCTCACTTCATATCAGACCATATCCTCCTAATCCTGTCTCGCCGCATCTTTTTGCCTCCGCGGGGACGGGCAAGGGCGGGGGGGAGAGGAAAAGAAGTCGAAAGCTGAGGAAGTGGAGGAGGAACAAAAAAGAAGGCGACCCTGTGGTGGAAGGGGCAAGTGTGGAAGTTGAGCCTGGCCAACTCCTAGCCGCCCCCTAACCAACCAGCTGGCCAAACCCCTTTCTGGATTTCCAAGGTTTGGCACCACAGCACGGACACCTTTCGAAGATGACGAGGGGGGGCAAGTGGGAGAGGAGGGAGAGAGGGAGGGCCCCAAAGCAAAGCAGATGCGTCTCAGCCGCTGCGTGGAGGCTCGGGCCCCGGATGCTGGAGGCTGGCCAGCTTGACGCCCGAGTGGCTCTGATGAGACCTGATGCTAACAATTGGACCCCAATACGTTGCCTGCATAGCTTGTGCAAAGCGAAACCTGTGCGTCAAGCTTAGGTCCAGCACCTGGGGCGTCGATGATAGAACCGCGCACCGCGAGGGCCCGAAACTGCCACGCCCAAGCCCGAGACGTGCTCCTCAGTTCTCTCCCATGCGCGGGCGTCAGACTCTCATGTGTGCGCAATCACGCGAGAACGCTTGAGCGTCGACCTAGGCGAGACACCTAGCCGGATGACGAGAAGGATGCTAAGCTTGAGGCTGATAAGTGAGGAAGATCAGTATCAGCCAGCGTTGATTCCAAATAGATAGGAGGACTGGATGAGGACGAGAGGAGGGTGGGAGGAGGACCAAAGGAAGACGGGAGCAGGACGGGAGGAGTACGGGAGGCGCAAAATCAATCAAGCGCAAGCAAGCAAGCAAGCGGAAGCAAGCAAGCGCAAGCAGGCAATAACAAGCAAGCAAGAGCCAGCGATCAAGTGCAAGCAAACAAGGGCAAGCAAGAGCAAGCAAGCGAGAGCAAGCCACAAGAGCAAGCAAGCAAGAGCACGCAAGAGCAAGCAAGGGCAAACGACTCATAGAAATCCATTGGAATCCATAGGACTCGCCATTGGAAATAGCTGGGGGGTATTGGAAATAAGTGGGGGCTTTGGAGTTAGGGGGGAGGCATAGGCATAGGCACAAGGCATAGCCATAGGAACTAGGGGGACATAGGAATTAGGAGGGGGGGAACGGACCAATTAGTAGGGTTGGAGTTAGAAGCCCTATAGGGCAAGCCTACTTGGAGAACAAAGGAAGAAGACGACGACACAAGAGAAGCCACAAGAGGAGGACGGAGAGGAAATTGGTTTTCCCCCCGCTCCTCGCCAGACCAGATGGCTCCGAAGCCGAGTCATTTAGCATGGGTCCTGCGGAAGCGGATCCTGGACCCCTGGTGCCTTCTCCCAAGGCGAGCTTTTCATCCTCGGTCGATTTCTGACAGTGGAAAGCCCCAAGGGCCCGAAAACGGCAAGAAGTTTCAGGACCCGTTTCCCCCACGTCGTGGGGGACGAAAGGGGTAGAGAATCAGCTCACGCAGCTGGTTTTCCTGGCGCCTCCGGGCGCCAGGAGGCGCCCATGTATAAAGGAATGGGCCCAGCGGCGGGGCCGAAACCAGCTGCACGCAGCAGATTTCGTCACCCCCTTTCCCTATCCCCCTCTTCGGTGGGGCGCACAATGGAATAGGGAGAGGGGGCAGGTTAGAAGGATGCTGCTTCTTAGAAGGCGGCGACCTTACATCTGCAGAGAAAGCCCACACCTTCTGAGAAGCAGGGGTGTTTCTGAGAAGCTTCCCCCCTCCCCCTACCCCCTCTGCGCGCGGCTGACCCTTCCCAGACCCCGACGTCATGATTTCTTCGTGACGCGACCCGCAGAGGTCCGGACCCATTCACCGGGACCGGTTTTTTCATCGTGAATTGTTTTTTCACGGTCCCGAGGCCCGGCAAGGGCCCCCAGAAGCCGAAAGTCGTGAAACAACTTCCGTCGCGATTTTGCTCATATCCCGAGGGTGTCTGGGTGTGTCGCTCGGCCCGACCACGGCGAGCCATGGGCGCCCCTGATGCCGCCCTGGCCCCAGCGCCCGCCTTCGCCGTCTTGCCCAGGAGGAGGAAGAGGAGGAGGAGGAGGAGGAGGAGGAGGAGGAGGAGGAGGAAGGAGGAGGGAGGAGGAGAAGGAGCAGGAGGAGGCGGAGGCGGAGGCGGAGGAGGAGGAGGAGGAGGAGGAGGAGGACGCGGAGGAGGAGGCGGAGGAAGAGGAGGAGGAGGAGGAGGGCACGAAGCTCAGTAGGAGTAGTAGTAGGAGGAGGAGCCCCACACCCGCTAGCGCAGCAGAGAGTGCACTCCATGATGACGAAAAGCACAACAACGGGCGCGGCCTCGAACTGCTTGGAGTGCGAAAGCCCTATCCTGCCCTCCCCGCCTGCGGCACTGATTGAAGGCAGAAAATAACATATCAATGGCGACAGCACAGGCATGCATGAACTCACTCGCTTTAGGGGTGTGCTCAGGAGACGGCCAGAGATGGGGAAGAAAATTAAAGGGCGCAACATACCCCCACTCCGGGGGGAGGAGCTCCCTCAGGAGGGGGACCACAACAGGACAGGTGACATAGTGAGAGATATTGTCGGCCCCTAAATTGCAGCACACGAAAACACAAGGCCCAGTGGCCTGTCTGAAACGCTTCGTAATTGGCCAAGCATTGAACACGGTTTTTAGAAGGGATGAAAAAATAAAATTGGGCAGCCTCCTCGCTTGAATATTAAGCCTCAGAACCGTCAGTTGAGCATCATGGGGCGTAGCATGTGGTAGCCAATAGCGAAGACGAGCAAGGACAAAATGATTGATGAAGTGATGGGGCTGACGTCGAACAATAAACTTCGTGATCATACTCTGCTGTTTTTTTTCGGGGGCTCGTGGATCGGGTCATCGGGGATTCTCATGTACTGGCTATACTCGATAAGCATGTTCCAGAAGATAGAATTCAGGAAGTGCGGGTTCCACTTAAACGTTAGGGTCCTGTTGTCGTCTTCCTGGGCAGCATTATACACGGAGCGCATAGCATGGAACTCTTCCGAGCGGATGGCACAGCGTAGCATGGATGCACGACAGAGGGTTTCCATAGAGCGACACTGCACAGGAAGACCTAATTCTTTGAGATGGAACATGGCCTTGGGAGGAAATGCATGCCGCGGCGCACGAGGAAGCTTTTGGTGCGCCTCTCGTTCTGCACGAACGAGTTCCTTAGACGGCAGGTAGAACTGCCCAACATGCGATGTGACAGGGACGACGTAGGTGTTGAAAGCCTGCACGGACTGGATGAAACTCAGCCCCAGGCACCGCACGTCCTCTGTCCTGCTCCTAATTTTCACTGCAACAGGCTGCCAGGCGTCAAGAAAACCTTGCTCACCGACCTGAACTCCCAGGAGTTTGCCAGACCTCTGAATCTGATAACGTGAAACATCAAGTCCCCGACCACGGAAGGCCTCCAGGACATCCTTTTTCTCCTCCATATTCAAAACAACAATGACACATTTCTTATAGTTAAGCGTGAGCCCAGTTACTTTACCTGACAGCACAAGCCTTACCAATACCTGCGGCAAGGTCTTGCAGAGGTTGCGTGCGACTAAGTAAATGTCATCGGCGAAGGCGCCGATCTGAAATACAAGACGCTCCTGCAGCTGTAATACGTAGCGGAGCACTGGATCCAGCACAAGCGCAAAGAGCACACCACTGAGTGGACATCCCTGTTTCATCCCACGAAAGGAATAGAAGCCATGCCTCCCTCCACCCCATACTATTGAAGTCCATATATCGTCATACAGTTCCTCTATCGCATTGATGAGATAGGGTGGCAATTTCATACGCATCAGTACGCAATTGATCCAGCTGCAAAATACACTCGGGAAGGCGTTCTTAAAATCGAAGAGCGTGAAGCCGCACTCCGTGTGCCTATAGACGGTGCCCCAAAGCGTGAGCAGACCATCCATATTGATGATATTGTCATTCATCATCCTCCCATTGACGAACCCCCGCTGGACGATGTGGCAGGTTTCAGCAGCGACATGATTTAATACCGAAGCGATGGCGGAGCGAGTAGTAGGAGGAGGAGGAGGAGGAGGAGGCGGAGGAGGCGGAGGAGGAGGAGGAGAAAGGCGCCCCTGATGCCGCCCCGGCCCCAGCGCCCGCCTTCGTCTTCTTGCCCGCCCACGGGCTCGGACCTCGGCGCGCGCACTGACACGCGGGCGCGCCGAGCCACGAGGCGGCCCGGCGCGGGGAGAGGGGCCGAAGCTCCCGCGGGCAGGCCAGGGCAACCCTCCACCTCCGCCTCCTCCTCCTCCTCCCTTTCCCTCCTCCTCCTCCTCCTCCTCCCTCCTCCTCCTCCTCCTCCTCCTCCTCCTCCTCCTCCTCCTCCTCCTCCTTCCTTCCTTCCTTTCCCTCCCTCCTCCTCCTCCTCCTCCTCCTCCTCCTCCTCCTTCTTCCTTCTCCTCCTCCTCCTCCTCCTCGCTGAGATGCGAGTCCGCCTGCCCACAATCAGTGAAGGATCCCAGAGATCCGCCGCTCCAAACAGAGTGGAGCGGCGGGGTTTTGGCCGTTTTGGGCCTCTGGGTCTCGGGAACGTGAAAAACGACTCGGGACGAAAAACCAGCCCCGGAGAAGTGGTCTGGACCTCGGGGGCCCCCACATCGAAAAATTTTGAGCAGCTGGATGTCGGGGATAGCCCTTGCTACATCCGACCCGTATCAAAAAGACGCACGAAAAGGATGCAAGGGCCTTGGAAGGGCATGACGACACTCTGCGGGTGGGGCGCGGCCAGCGAAAGCGGCCAAGGATGGGCCGAAAGGGAAGGATGCAAGGATAACCTTGGAAAGTCGCTCATCTTTACGATGCGGGTGAAGATAAATCGAAAACCTCTGAGATCTGGCGGCTCTGGAGGATGTCTCGGGCGCGGCGGCCTTGCTCTGGAACGGATTATCCTCGTCCTCGCCCCCCGCCCGAGATAGCCCTTGCTACCCTTGAGTGCAGTTTCTTGCTGACTAGGGAAAAGCCTTGTCCGGGACCTTCCACTCCCACTGGATCCTGCCAGCTTCGGGCGCGCTGGGCTAAGGAAGCAGCTATAGTAGAAGAAGGAAGGCCAAGAGTCGGAATGGAGTTGGAGAGAGACGGGGAACGAATCAGGGGGCCGAAGAAAAGTCAAGAGCGTTCGAAACCTCTATCCTCGAAAGATCGAGCAGGCAATCGATCGACTCTCGATCGATCCAACGATCGAACGATCGTTAGAGCCTTTGACCGTTTGATCGCTCATTTTTCGATCGACAGATCGACAGACCAATTCAGACATCCAGGATTTGGGGCCGCGCCGAGAACAGCCCAGATCCGTAGCGTCTTGACACAGAGCTCGACACGAAGAACGAAAACGTAGGTCTGGCGCGATACGCTGGCCAAAACGTGGGCCAACACGTTGAGCCAACACGCCACGTATTCACACGGACGTCTTGAACACGGAACGTGCTGCGCTTCGACGCGTGCGTATCAGGGCAGCCGAGGCTGGGTGAGTCGGGCGCCCCAAAGCTGCACAGCCCCCCAGCCTGGGGGCCAGGCCATCCCTTGACTGGCCGAGTCCGGGCCGAAGCACGACAGCCTCTAGCTCGGCTGTGTCCCCCCTGGCCTTGGCAAACCTGGCCCCTCGGACCCACCTCCACCGTCTGCGTCGCCTCAAGCATAGTTGTCTCGACTCCCCCGCAGATCCATGTCGACCTGGCGAGAAAGCCACAGTCATCTTAGCCGTCGTCTTCGTCGTCGTTGCAATCGCCATCGTGGGGCATCTGTCGGGACCACGTCGCACGTGGGCCACACTTCCGCCAACATGGCCCTGAGCCTTCGCGTCCATGATCGTCATATTGAAATCGAGACGGCCTGCTCAGCATCAGCGGACGTCACCGCCCCACCACCAAAGCCGTAAAGTGCAACTAACTCAGAGATGGGACGCTGTCCCGCAAGCCGCTCACGCACATTGTCCCTGCCTGCCAGTTGTCCGCACGTTGGGCAGAGCACGTCGCTGTCTGCGCTCGAGCCGCAACGCTTTCTGGAAGGGCGCCTAACTTCGCGCTTCGCGCTGCGCGAAGCGCCAAAAACTTCGCGCTCTCGCGCCACCCCCCTGGGAAGAAGAGGAGGACAAGGAGGAATCGGAGCAGAACCACGAAGCGCGAAGCGCGAATAACTTCGCGAAGCGCGAAGTACTTCGCGCCCTCGAGGGCGCCCTTGCTTTCGCCTCTGAGCAACCACACATTGGGCAGAGCCCGTCGCTGTCTGCGCTCGAGCTGTTACATCTTCTGGCTGCCCTTGCAGTGATGGCCTTCGTTGACGGCACGCACAAAGGGGTAGGGGAAAAGGGGAAGGCTTCTTAGAAGGAGGTTGCTTCTTAAAAGGCGCTGACCTTACATCTATAGCAAAGGCCCGCGCCTGCACCTTCTAAGAAGCCGGATGCTTCTAAGAAGCCATCCCCCATCCCCCTACCATGAGTCGGGCGTGTCCCCCTACAGGCGGATTGTGGCAGAAAAGAATAAAAAGTCAAAAATATAGAAAAATGATCCAAAAATCGTCTCCAGACTATTTTTGGACTTTTTGTTGCATGTTCCTCCTGGAGAAGGACACGCCCGACTTGAACCCTACCACCCCCCCCGCGCCGCCCGAACCGACCTCCCCCCAAGGCGACTGCAGCCGCCACTGGCCTCTGACCATCCCTGCCCCCGTCCATCGGGGGAGGCAGGCCCCACGCTCTGCAGCCTGCGGTGCTGGTGGAGGTGCTGGTGGAGGTGCTGGTGGCCAGTGGGGGCAGGTTCGAGGCGCTGGGTTCGGGAATATATTCTGCCTCTCGGCCTCCGGGGGCCGCTCTCAAGCCCCGGGACCGTGAGGAACGGATCCGGGGCGGAAAGCTGCACCAAGTGGACCCTGGGAGGGGCCCGGTGGCCGACTTGGCCTGCAGTTGGCCTCATGCCCCCCTCCTGACCAATCTTTTGGGGTCCCAATGAACTCAGACCCCCTCCAGAAGCTGCTTGCCCGTCACAGGCCTCCACCACCTCCTGAAGTGCCGACCTAAAAGTATCATCGGCCCCGGTGCAGTCACGACATCGTGCACCGCCCGCTCCAGGACCGCAGCGAAGTGCTGGGACGCCTATCGGCTCACGCGCAACTTCATTGTCTCACGCTTGGCGAAGGCTTCGCAAGTCACATGATATGTGAGCGCAAGGTGCTCATCCCACCTCTATCCTCCCTCTTCTCGCCTCTATCTTCCCTCCCTCCTCCATCCTTCCTGCTGCTGAGTCATACTTCTCTCTCTCTTTATCTTTTCCTCTCTCTCTCTCTCTCAACCTGTTTGTCTTGTTTTCTCGATCTAAATGTGTATATATATATATGTATCCAGCCTTCCTCCTAAAATACGCCCTCCATTAGACTCGATCCATCCTACCGCATCGCTCTGTTCTCTTCCCTCTCCCTCCCTCTCTCCATGCCCCCCCCTTCCTCCCTTCTGCACCTCCTCCCCCAGCTCCACCGCCACCATCCGACACGCCCAGCGAGACCTGGAGGGGCCGTCCCTCCCCGAGCGCCCCGCCCTCCGCAGCTCTCCCGCCGGCCGCGGCCGACTGCCTGTCGCCGCCACGTGCGGGCGCCCGGCCACGTCCCACAATCCGCGCGCGTGCGCCCGCGAGCTCGGTCGCTGGAGGAGGGGGGCGAGGACGACCGCGGCAGCGACGGAGACGAGGGAACTGGAGGCTGGCGAGGGGGGGGCGAGGAGGAGAAAGCCATGTTCAAGTCAGGCATGTCCCTCCTACGGGAGAAGGTGGGAAAATAGCAAACAAAGAATGACGATGTTTGACTTTTTGTCCTGTGGGAAGACATGCCCGACCTAAAGCCAGATGACGACCTTCAGGGTCGGCAGGGGAGTGGCACCGACGTCGACGAAGGAGGCCAGTGCCAACCGGAGGAGCAGCAGAGCGTACGGTGGCTCCTAGGAGGAGGATGCAGAAGGCGCGTCCAGGGCGAACGCTCCAACGAGCCGACCCGACTGGGGTGCGCGCTGAAGTCAAAGTCGACTTCAAAGGATACGCTACTCCGAGTATCTTAATAAGCGACAAGCGTCGGAGGGGGGGGGGGGGGGGGCACACCCCCGCCGACAGCCCCACATCGACCCCCGTCGCGAGCAGCCTCCGCGCGACGAAAGCGCTCCGACCCCCGTCGCGGCGCGACGACGAGGCGAGGTTGACCCCCGTCGGGGGGTACCCCCCACGCTTGTGAAGAAACCGAGAGTAGCCTCTCAGTTGTTCCACACCGAACTTGGTTTCGAAATCACGCAGCATCCACGAGGCTTGGCTGGGCAAGACTGGGACTAGACTGGACTGGGATGAAAGATTGGGCTGACTTGGCTGGGGCTAGAATGGACAGGACTGGGCCGAGCTGGTCTGAAAGGGACTTAACTGGACCGGTCTTGGATTGGCTGGGCTGTATTAGAATGGACTCCACTCGTCTGGACGGGGTGGACTGGTCCTGGCTGGACCGAGCTTTCCTACATGTTATCTGGGCTGGAATGAACTTGCCTCGCCTGGACTCGACTGGACGTGACTGGTGTGGACCAGGATGGATAGGTCCCTCTGAGTTCCTAAGAATCATGATGGGTCCCTAGGGACTCCAGGGTCCTACAGGTCCCAATGGATTCCCCATTGATTCCAGAAAGTCCCTGTGAACTCCTGTGGTCCCCTACAGATTCATACGGATCTGTATTAGCATTGATTCCACTGGATTCGAATGGACTCCTCCGGATCTCTCGGTATGGCTTGCAGTGAAACTCCGACTGAGCAATATGGATTCCGATTGAGTCCTAAGCGCGGGAAGGAACACCTCATAGGAAAAGAGAGGCCGGTTCTGCCCACCAACTTACTAAGAACTCTTTGGACACTGGAGCCTGAGCTGTTTCATGAAACGCAAGCAGAAACGGGTATCAGCATGGAGTGGAGAGTCACAGAACGGCCGGAGGAGAGATAATACGTGCTGCGCTCACTTCACGCGGTCGAGGCACTCCCACATCATGATGCTGTTGCCCCGGATGACGACCATGCCGATCTCGTTCTTCTCCGTCGGGGAGACAATCTCCACGGTGTTGTCGAGCACAATGTTCATGAACTGGTCGTAGCCCCGCAGCACTCCCACGACGTGCCTGTTCGCCGTGAGCTTGAGGTCCAGGCGTTTCTCCATGAACTTGCGGAGGTCCGCGCCCGCCCCAGCCTTCGACATGGCGCACCCGCGGCGGGGCAGAGAGAAGCCCCGGCAAAACGCCAGAATAGGTCCGTGAGGCGATGCAGCTTGAGCCAATGTATTTGTTTATATATATACATATATATATGTGTATATATATGTATATATATGTATATATATATATATATGTATGTACAGATGTAAACATCTACACAAATGTGTCTAGGTATGTATGCATAACAATAAATGTGTTACTGGCCTTGCTGGAAAATGAGCTAATGACCTGCGTGGTGACGGCTTGGTTGCGCGCCCCCCGATGCCGGGGGCCCCCTCCAGGGGCCCCTGCTTGAGGCCGGTGTTGGCGCGCTCTTGAGGCGCTTTGTGGCCGCCGTGCGGCGATGTTTGCCAGAACCACCGCGAGCGCATGGCGAGCGCTCAAGCTCTACCTGACTTGGGCGCCAAGACAGGTCGTGGAAATGGGCCGCGCCAGGATGAACCAGGAGCGCAGGCTCTCAAGAAGGCGCCTTAGGGTCACGCTGGGGCCGCTGTGAGTGCCCCCCACAGCCAATCATGAGAAAAGCACAAAGTGAAACTCTCACAGCTGATCTGGGGCTCAAAAGAAAGACAGTAGCCGCTGACATGCTAAACCAGGTCGCGTCATAAGAAAAAGGTAAGGGATAGAACGAAGAAACGACTGTCTTAGTGACCCCTGTGGGTGTATGGCTTCTCCCAGACACCGTGTAACCACTTCAGCCAGAGGGTCGACGATCCTAGAAGTCGTCTAACAATACTGAACCATGCAGGATGTGGACTCCGTTTAATGGCGTGGAAGTCACATTGGCGTACTCTTGCGACCTCTGAAGGGAATGGGCTGAAATTGGAGGAAGCTCCTGGGGCTGGCCTAGGTCGACCTGGGTCCCTCTCGAACTGTCTTGGACACTTTTGGGCCGTCTGGAGCTCTTTCTGGGCGTGTTGGGAGTCTTCTGGGGCCATCCTGGAGTCCTCTTGGCGCCCTCGTGAGCTGTCCTGGGGCCCTCTTGCTTCTTGGACTATTTTAGGCCCCTCGTCAGCCGTCCCGGAACCAGCTGGGGGGCCTCGCGGGGCCCTTTTGGGCCTTCGGACCGTCCTGGACACGGCCAAGGCGGTATTGCAAAAATCCGTCGAACACTCAAAAGCAAGGCAATGAGCGTTGCCCGTACGGAGACTCTTGGGAGCTCTCCTGTACCGCTATAAGGTCGCCTTGAAGGCCTCCAGTGCAATATTGGAGCCTTCGTGACCCCACAGGGCCCCAGTGACTGCGTCCGCATGCGGCCCCGCCACATTCCGGCACACTCCTCACACGTTTCGCGGCTCCACAGGGAGCTCCACGTGGCTGCGTCTGCACGCGGCCCCGCCCCATTCCGGCAGACCCGTCGCACATTTCGTGGCCCATAAGGTGGCTCCACTGAAGGTCCCAGTGGCTGCGTCCGCATGCGGCCCCGCCACATTTCGGCAGACCCCTCACACGTTTCGTGGTTTCATCGGGAGCTCCACCGAATGCCCCAGTGGCTGCGTCCGCATGCGGCCACGCCCCATTTCGGCAGGCCCCTCGCACGCTTCGTGGCTCCACAGGGAGCTCCACGGCACGTTCGTCGCCGTCTTCCCTCGTGCGGATAGAGTCGAGAGAGAGCGCGTGAATGGAGAACGTTGAGCGTGGTTTGACGTTTTTTGCGAAGCGTTCAGGGCCGCCGCAGGCCAATCGCAGTATGCTTATGTATGGAGCGGTCCTGTTCATGGTGGCCTCGTTTTGAAAATAGTTTGGGTTCTTCGCCAGGCTCATGTATTTGACGGATTTTAGCGTTCTCGTCTTGTCGGGCTTTCGAGGCTCCAAGAGGACTTAAAAGAGGCCCCAAATATCGCCGCAAGCGGCCCAAGCACCCAGACGGCCCGAGGGGGCCCCAAGACGGCCCCAAGAGGCCCCGAAGACGGTCCAAGCCTCCAGGAGGATACCGAGAGGCCTCCCAAGAGATTCCCACAGGCATCCAAGAGGCCCCTGGCCCCACAACCAAGGCACGGTGGCGGGTGGCCCTAAGACCATTAGATCCGCCGCCCCCTGTGGTTTTCACAAGGGTGCTTGGCATGCTAAACACTTTATTGAATTATTCATGTTCGAACCCTTCCCTGTGGCTGGCCCATGGAGCCGGCTACCCAGAAAGACCCGGGCGAACCATAAGGCACCCTCCTCCGTCCCCAACACACACAAAATGGTATCCAAGGTGGCCTCCAAGACAGCCAAGAAGGCCCAAAATGGCCTCCAAGACGGTTCCAAGACGCCTCCAAGACGGCCAAGATGGCGCCAAGATGGCCCCAAGACGGCCTACGATGCCCTGCAGACGGCCCAACATGCCCGCAAGACGCCCCAAGAGGGCTCCAAGAGGAACCCCAGCAGGCCAAAATCATAGACTGGCCTTCGGTTTTGTAGGATGTTAGAATTCTCTCCGTTTGGAGCTTTCGACGCTCTAAGACGGGCCCAGGAGGCCCCCCAAGAGGCCCGCAAGACGGCCCAAGAGGGCACCAAGACGGCCCAAGAGGCCCCCAAGACGGCCCCACAGACTTTCTATACGTCCGCAGTCCGCCGAAAGAAGGACCCACGACTTTCCAGAGAGGCCCCCAAGACGGCCTTCGAAGGCCAAGAGGTCCTCAGAGGCCCCCAGAGGCCCCCAAGAGGGCCCCAGGAGGCTGGGGCTCCCAAGAAGCCCCCAGGAAGCCACTAGACGGCCTCAAGAGGCCTGCGGCCCCACAGACTTTCTATACGTCCCTCCTTTCCTTCCTCCTCCTCACTCCTCTGCTCCTGTTCCTCCTCCTCCATTTCCTCCCTCCCTCCTCCTCCTCCTCCTCCTCCTCCTCCTCCTCCTCCTCCTCCTCCTCCTCCTCCTCCTCCTCCTCCTCCTCCTCCTCTTCCACCGCCTTGTCCTCCTCCTCCTCCTCCTCCTCCTCCTCCTTCTCTTCCTCCTCCTCTTCTCAGCTGCATCATCAGCATCATCATCAGCATCTCATCATCATCATCATCAGCATCATCATCATCAGCATCATCAGCATCAGCATCATCATCAGCATCATCATCATCATCATCATCATCATCATCAACAGCAGCAGCATCAGCATCAGCATCATCATCATCATCAGCAGCAGCAGCAGCATCATCATCAGCATCATCATCACCATCATCATCAGCAGCATCATCAGCATCATCAGCATCAGTATCATCATCAGCAGCAGCATCATAATCAGCATCATCAGTACCATCAGCATCATCATCTGCATGAGCATCAGCATCAGCATCATCAGCATCATCATCAACAGCATCAACATCGTCATCATCGTCATCATCATCGTCATCATCAGCATCATCATCATCGTCATCATCATCATTGTCATCATCATCAGCCTCATCAGTATCAGCAGCACCATCATAACCATAACCATAATCAGAATCGTCAGCATCACCAGCATCATCGTCATCATCATCAGCATCATCAGCATCAGCATCGGCATCATCGTCACAATCAGCATCGTCATCATAATCATCACCAGCATCAGCATCATCATCATCGGCATAACCTTCAGCATCAACAGCATCAGCATCATCATCATCATCGTCATCCTCATCCTCATCCTCACCATCGCCATGAGCAACAGCACAATCATCATCATCATCAGATTCATACTCATCTTCATCTGAATCCTCTTCCTAATCCTCAGCCTCGTCCTCCTTCCCCTCCCCATCATCCTCCTTCAGCTTCCCCTCCTGAGTGCTTCCCCAAAGGGCTCCACAGCGGCTGGGGGAACGCATAGTCCAATACTTTGTCTAGACGTTGGCCCAACGTGTGGCCGCATGGACGTTTCCAGAAGGCAGAGGGCAGTGGTGGTTCGCCATAGGCGACTTCGATCTATATGTATACATAGAAACGTGCATATGTATATATATATATATATAGATATGCCCACATGCATACAGAAATAATTTCACGTTTGTAATGTGCGCACGGACGCGATGCGTGGTCCGAATGTTTTTTCAAATAAAAATAACCAATGCGCTATCAAGCCCCATCGCTGACAGCCCAAATTAAAATCTCTGCAGGAAACTCGGCGCGAAGGGTACGCCTGCAAGGCACAACAGAATATGTGCATCTCCTTCCGCGAGCTACTACCGCATCGCACACACAGTCATAATGCAAATTACGCTTGATCAACAACACAAGCAAGTGCCCGCAGTCACAATTATCTTACGTATGCTCGAAGCGGCAACTACGACACTGGTCATCACCCAAAGGACGACGAGAGCAAACAGAGCAGACACGAAATCGTCAGCAGGCACAGCGGGCGAAACGTCATCCTCAGGCGGGGATGCTCGGAAGGACAAGTCCAGGCAGCCACAAGCGTAATGCACGGTGCGACGCTGGATCATCCGAGAACCGATCTGGATCGATCACAGCAATTATGTGGCAGACATGCGCCCATGGCTGATCGAGCTCACGCTAAGAGCGGCGGCAGCCACCCGGCAGGAACACCTCCGCGCCCAGCGCACCCAGCAGGCGCGGCTGCTCCAGGTGCGGCCAGGGAACCACCTGGCCGCAGCGACCGTGCACACTCTCGGTCGGCGCGGGTCCCCCGGCGGATCGTGCTTTTGCTGCGAGGGGTGCCCCCCCCGCCATCGGTTTGGGGGGGCGATCTTGGTGGACCAGCTCGGGGGGAAGGAGACATCGGCATGTAATCGGCGATAGATCGACGATGGCCCCACGATAAACACTTCGGTATGTAGAATGTACATATACATATACATGTACGTATATATAGACATATACATATACATAGACATGTGCATACACATATTCATATATACATATATATACATATATACACATACACATACACGTACACATACACATACACCTACACATACACATACACATACACGTTCATACATGCATACATACATGCATATATATATATACATACATTCATTCATACATACATACATACATACATATATACATACATACATACATACATACATACATACATACATACATGCATGCATGCATGCATGCATATATACATACATACATACGTACATACATACATACATGCAGACATACATACATACATATATACATACATACATACATGCATGCATGTATGCATGCATGCATACATACATACATACATACATACACACATACATACATACATACATGCATACATACATGCATACATACATGCACATATATATATATATATATATATGTATATGCATACATGCATACATGCATACATACATGCATGCATACACACATACATACATGCATACATATATACATACATACATACATATATACATACATACATACATGCATGCATGCATGCATGCATGCATGCATGCATACATATGTACATACAGACATACATACATACATACATGCATACTCACATACAGACCTACCTACCTACCTACCTACCTACCTACCTACCTACCTACCTACCTACCTACCTACACACATACATACATACATACATACATACATACATACATACATACATACATACATACATACATACATACATACATACATACATACATACATGTGTGCATATATGCATGCATACATGCATACATACATACATACATACATACATGCATGCATGCATGCATACATACATACAGACGTACATACATACGTACATGCGTGCATACGCACGTACGAACATACATACATGCAAACATACACACGTACATTGCATGTGTCAGTGAGTGTACGGCCCCTCCCGAGGCTCTCAGGGCGGAACCAGAGCCTGAAGCGGCCCTGGCGTGCGAGGCAGGCCCAAGGAGGCCTTTTGTGCGAGGCCCGTGTGGGCCTGGACTGTGGAGCGGGAGTTCCCGCCACAGCTCATCAGGAGCTTGAGAGAATCATCGAGTCAGATCATCATACCTGCATGGTGACAGGTGTCGGGTATCGAACCTTCCCAAGAGGCTAGTGGCGCCAGCGCGCCATGGCCGCCGAGGCGGTCACAGCTGGGGTGCAGCTGCTGGACTCGCGTGGGGCCGGCAAGGTGCCGACATTCTCGGGCAAGAGGGAGGACTTCGAAGATTAGATCTTCCCGTTCGAGAGCTGTTGCGGGCTGCTTGGTTGGACAGCAGGCCTGGAGTTGGCCAGAGATGCAGACGAGCCTCTCGCCGTGGAACAGATCGGCGAACAGGGAGTGCAGGCGGGCAGGAGCCTGTACCACCTACTGGCGAGCACGACAAAGGGCACGGCTCAGAGCATCGTGAAGTTGTGCCCGAGGGAAGACGGCTTCGAGGCGATGCGGAGGCTGTACAAGGAGTACCGCCCAAGGCCGAACGAGGAGCACGCACAGATGCTCCAGCAGATCCTGACGCCGCTCAGGCGGGAAGACCGCGAAGGCAAGGAACGCTTCACCGAGGTGCTGATAGCCTGGGACGAGCTGATCTCCCGCTACGAGCGGGCAACGGGCGAGGAGGTCACGCAGAGGATGAAGACGAGCGCGATCATGGCGCATGCTCCCGATGACGTCAAGACCATGCCGAGGTCGGCGCAGCGGGACGTGTGGAACGACATCGGCCAGATGCGCAACTGTAACTTCGAGGCAGTGATCGGCCAGAGTGGAGTGATCGCGAAGCCGCCGACGGCTAGCAGGAGCAGCAACGACATGGACGTCGACGCGATCTCCGAGGGCAAGGGCAAGCAGGATGGCAAGGACAAGTGCCAGCAAGCCGAACCACACAGCGCGCGACTGCTACTGGCGCGCCAAGGGCAAGCCGAAGGGCGACGGCAGAGGTAAAGGCAAAAGTTTCAGCACAGACGGCAAAGGCAAAGGCAGGGACAGCTACGCGTTCACAGGCAAGTATGACTATGGCCACAAGACGGGCCACAAGAACGCAGACTGCAGGAAGCGGATAACCGACGAGAAGGCCAAGGGCAATTCTGCGATCGAGCAGGAGAACACGGAGCCGAATACGGTGGCCAAGATAGAGTTCGCGGAGCTCGAGTGCGAGATCTGCGACGACAAGCAGTTCTACTGCCTGGCGATGAAGGCCCAAGACGGCGACGCGGAGTGCTGTGGCATGGATCTAGACGGGACCACCTTCATCACGCTGCACACGGCGAGCGACTGCCACGTCGGCCCAACCACGTTCGGCGAGGGCTGCAGGAAGGTGGCGAACGAAGGGCCGAGGCATCTGGGCGCGCCGAGGCAGGAGATCAAGATGGACTCCATCGCGACGGCGCCGATGGCCGTCGCCGACGACAACGAGCAGACGAAGTTGCTGAAGGCAGACTTCAGGCTGGGCGACACGGTATCAAAGCCGATCCTCTCGCTACTCCAGGCGATGGACAAGGATGCGGAGTTCTGGCTGGGCGCGAAGACGGGCGCGTGCGCGCGCCCAGGAGGCGACCTCACAAAGGGCACCCCACTCACCGGGAAGAACAGCACCCTGGGCTTCAACGCAAAGAGCTTCAAGACAAAGATGGAGGCGAAGGAGTTTCCAGCCAGCGTGAACGCGAACGAGCAGCAGGAGGAGTTCGCGCCATCGCCTGAGGCTTCTGGCAGCGGGGGCGCGGCGGCAGCAGCACCAGTGGCGCCAGATGCTGCGGCAGCACGACTCGGACCTGAGCAACCAGCATCAAGGGAAGGAAGGGAACGTCTAGCTCGGCAACCAGCACTACTGCATGAAGGGCAGAAGATCGTCCTGCACCCAGACAGCCGCGCGGAGGACATGCGGACCAGGCTCAGGGAGCTGGGGCAGCCGATCTACGGCAGGAAGGGCGGGCTGTGGACGAGGCTCAGCGACGCGGAGCGGAGGATCACAGCGCGCCACGCCAGGATGAAGGAGCTGGAGCGCAGGCACGAGGAGTCCGTTCAGGGAGGACTCACGATCGCACACGTGAAGTTGCTGGACCAGCAGCGCCGACGGAGGCGGAGCGAGCAGCGCGCGAACTTCTACATCTCACGAGAGCTCCATGGCGCGAGGCCTGCGTGAGAGGAAACGAGACGACACAACCGCACTGGGCGCTCACCTTCGACCAGGTGGACACGGGGAAAGCGCAGATCACCCTGGACCTCTGCTACATGAAGACCAACGGTAATTGGGCGGAGATCGGGGTCGAGGAACCTCCAGCGGACGACATCTTCGCGACGACGCCCGCGATGGCGGACAGGGACGCGCTGACGTTCAACGCGGTTTCGACGCCGACCAAGGCGGTCACTGACTACGCGGTGGCCAGCGCGAGCAGCTTCACCAAGGGCACGCATCTGACGACAGCGGACATCAAGACGGACGGCGAGCCGACGATCCTGAACTTGGCGGAGGAGGCGCGCAAGAAGCTGAGCAAGAGCATCAAGCTGGAGGAGAAGCGCGGGAACCTGAAGGGCAGTCAGAGCACGGGCGCGATCGAGGCTCCGATCAGATGGTTTCAGGCGAAGGTGAGGACGTACAGGTTCGACTTGGAGAAGCGCTGCGGCATGAAGATCACAGCGGACGCACCGATCTGGTGCTTGCTTACGAGATACGTTAGTTGGGCGACCTCTACGTACAGACCACGGGCCGAACAGGGGACATCTCATCAAGCAGCATCCGGAGTGACCTATAACGACGAGATTCTCCCCTTCGCGGAGACGGCGCCCTTCAAACTGCCGACCTCCCACGCGAGGCAGATCACGGCGACGTCGCTCAAGCACAAGGGCGAGTCGAGCTTCGCGAAGGACATATGGATCGGGAAGCACAAGGAGAGCGACGATCACTTGTTCCTGACGCCTGCGGGGTGGCATCGCGCCAGGACCTGCAGGAGGCTGGGGCCAGCGCTGCGAGCTGACGCGAAGCTGACGAAGGCGGCGAAGGCCCTGCCCTGGGAGGCACGGAGCGCCAAGCCGCGCGAGCTGCTACCCGAGACGCAGCGACCTCTTCCCACGATCGCCCCGACGGCGGCGGAGCAAAAGGCGAAGGCGGAGGCGGAGGCAGCGGCAGCTCCAGCGGCGCCGCAGCAGGGGGGCGCCCGACCAGGGGGCGCCAGCAGCAGCAGGAGGCGCAGCGGAACCACCAGTGGCACCGGTAGGACCTGGAGCGGGAGCAGCGGCGGCAGCCAGACCTCAGGGGAAGAACGCGATGGAGGAGGACGCGCCGATGACGCCGAGGTGAGGACTTCGGCCCACCTGGGAAGCGAGCGAGGCATGTGGACGCGATCTCGCTGGAGGATCCCATCGACTACAGCATCCTGGACAGCATGGGCACGGCATCCTACGTGACGACCAGCGGTCTGGAGCCCGCGGTGGAGCTCAAGGGGAAGCGGGGCGCGCTCGAGGTGCTGGCGCACGACGGCGCCCACAGGGATATCCCGAGGAGCGAGAGCGGGGAGTTCAAAATGATCAAGGCACGCTGGGAGCCGCAGATGCGAGGAGGCGTCTGCAAGTGGAGGTACGTGGCCCAGGAGTTCTAATGGATGGAGCAGCGGGACGACGCGTTCGCGGCGAGCTCCTCAGCACAGACGAGCAGGCTGGTGGACTTCGTCGGCATCAAGGAGGAGAACCACGGGACATTCATCGCGGACTGCAC